GCCACAAGGACAGGTGTATTTTATGCTGTATGGAAATGCCCGCGTATTTGCTCTGCAATACGCCCGCATGCATGAGCCCTTAGAAGTTCAGGGACTTACCTGTTGGCAGAATATATAGTTATATGTGTAACCTGCAGATCTTTTTCCGGTAGTAGGCTGATGGTTCCGGTACCATCAGCCTACCTATCTGACTATGTTTCATGGTACACCCATATTTAGGGTGTAACATGAAATGTATTCACATTCCCTAAAAACCCAGCCTTCAACCCCCCCCCCCCTACCCCACCTGCGGGGTTCTTTCCCTGCAGCATCCTGTATTTTTGATGGATCTGTGAATGGAAGACTATAAGTCCCATCTATCCACCATCACAGCAGAGGGACTCAGACCTCAATAGAGCACAAGTCTGGTGACTTCACCACACTTGTAGTCCATTTAATCTTTCCTTCAGCCCTAAAAGTGAAGGTCTGTACCTCAGTATGGATAGGGGCTAGAGGAATCGTCTGCAATCCACTGATCTCAGTTGCAATACTTTGCAAGCTCCATTGCAAAAAAAATATAATAAATGCACTTTTTATTATTATTAATGTAGGTGCATTTAATATTTTTTGCAAAAAGTGTAAAATGCCTTTTAACGTTGAACACCGATTAGTCACTGATCTGGAATAGACCTGCATTTTACTTACTGGCAGGCGCATGCTTGTTTTCAGTCAATAACTAACCAAAAAGCGAAGAAAGGATAAGGTTGACAGCCTTTGCGCACACAAGCCATCAGTAGTATCCTCCATATTCCTGCTCTGACTGGTTCCTTTTTTAAGTGCAATAATATGGTCCCATTGATTGCAGTGGTCATGTTTGGCAAGCCCTCTGCTTACTAAATGTGACATGCTGTTTAAAATTTGCCGCCAAGCAAAGCATTCCGGCCGCAGCATGAGAATCGGGTATTTTATCATTTAGGTAGGTGGTCCTGGGGGTAGCGAGCAGTAAAAATGCTGATCAGTTGCCTGTTTTTACTGCCCCTTGCCCGTCAATCTGAACGAGGCCTAACAGTAAATCGGGCTCTGTGTGTTTACAGTTGAAACTTTCCTTTTATCTTAGACACATTTCAACATGAGAATCTTCTCTCACCGTCCGTGCCGATATCTTATTAAGCAGCCTCCTTGGCTGGAGGCAGACAAAGGAGGTCTCACATTTATATCAACTATTTTTCCATGCAATATTATAAAACTTTCAGTCCAATCAGCACCTACATTTAAATGCCACAAATTACAGCAGCAAAACAATAATTCCGCTGATTAGCCCTTTTCCATTTCTTGTAAGTGAACTGTTTATGCTGTTGAGTACCTTTGAAAAAAAGCAAAAGCCAAAACAGCCTTGATTAGTCAAGGAGTAATTGGATGACTTGATTTCAAGCAAGAGAATGAATTGGTTGATGATAGCCTGCAACAAAGTGTAGTGGTTCTGTTCACATGAATACATAACATACAGTCATAAGATCTTGACATTGGGTAGTACAAGGAAGCTGAGGCGCTTAATAAGATTGCTTTTTTTGGTTTAAATAATCTATTAATATAAAGCAAAAATTTTAAAAAGTATTTGAAAGTGGTAAATATTAAGCTTTTTTCATGGCTTCTTTAAAGTGTTTCTGAACCAAAGAACAAAAATGTAATATATTGCACCTTACCAGTCCTTAGATGTTGTGGCTACTTTAGCTTTCTTTTTGTAGACGGTTTTCTGTATACCCTCTCTCTCCCTGTATACCCTCTCTCTCCCTGTATACCCTCTCTCTCTCACCCTGTATATCCTCTCTCCCTCCCTGTATACCTTCTCTCTCCCTGTATACCCTCTCTCTCAGACATTACATTGATCTCTACGATCCTGGCATTGACACCTTATACTGAGGAGGCCTATAGATCGATAAAGATTGGAGGCTATTGCTTTCCTATTTAAGAAGTGTTGCACAGATCTATTTGCTGGTCTGATTACACCATTGGAGGATATCTGTGAGCGATTGGAGCTGAGGGCCCCCTCCCCTGGTTAAGAAGGGAATTGCTTGATTTGACCTCTTGCTGGGGTCTATCAATGAGCACCCCTATATCTGGTGTGGTGCATTTGGTGAAGGAACAAGAAATATTCATCACTATTGCTATATTTGGAAATTTTTGCAGATTTATGAAGATTTTAAGACTTTACACCTGATTGATTTTTTTCACTGACATATATATAAGCAGTGCCATATTGAATATTTCTCTGCCGCATCCTGGCAGAAGAAGTGTCCAGAGATTTGGACTTCTTACAGTTGATACAAAGTATTAGTTGTTGCAGCTCTAGTATTGGCTTTATAATACTCTGACCACACTTTTGATGTGATGGACATTGTTTTACATGCTCCTACAGATGGGGTGACTATCATGCCCTTGTACATTTGAAATGTACAGTCTAGAATGTCACTAAGCATATGAAAGGTCTAAGGGCTTGGACTTGTTCATACCATGTCCGGAGCAGTTCTGCAAGCACAGTGCAGTGTGTTTTTGATGCATTCTGGTGTGTTCCGGGTTTTTTTCTTAAAGCTTAAAATTGATTTTCAGGTGCAGTCCAGTGTGTTTGCATGCATTTTGGTGCATTTCAGACCAGAAAAAATAGTGTATGCAGCATTTTTCCTGCTGCACCAGAACGGACTGCACTGGTGTGAACAGAGCCTAGGAATACCATAGGCGATCGCCTATATGTGCTCGTTCGCGTCCGCCCCAACCCATGCCCCCTCCTGCTGGTCTTGTACCAGACTTTTTCTTTCTACTTCCTCCAGCTCCTCCAGAGTCAATCTTATGCGGTAAAGGAACACCCTGCGACACTCTCTAGATGACTTGCCTTGTAAGGGTTTAGTTTGTGTCTGTACATCTTTACTCTTTGTAGGCGGTCTCCATTCAAGGCCCTCACGTGTATATGTTTCGCTGGCAAAAAGATGATTGCTATTCATTTTTAGGCCTCTTGGTATGTAAACCCCCGTTTTTTTTGGGAGGTAATGCATTCTCTTATTTCCCTGTTATAATTACTTTCTTCCTTGACACTGTTATTTGCATAAAGCCTTGTTAGCATGTTGCCCCATCATGTCATGACAAGAGCGTGAAAGTCAGCACACATACTTCAGTAATATCTGCCTGCTCTACCCTCGTGTTTCCAGTTGGCAATTTCAAATTATGGCTTCTGCTGCACTTTAAATGCGTGTTAATAGCGTGTGCTCCTAACAAGGGCCAGCACCATTTTGTTCACATTGTGAGTGCTTGTCACTCACGGATGACAAATGTACCTTCCCCAGCTCCTCTGATGGCCCCCTCAAAACCATACCCTCAAATCAGGCCGATGAAATTAGCCGCTGTGTAAATTGTGTGTCTGAGTGGTTCATTATCTAATCACGGTCAGAACCATAGTGATAAAGTAGAATGAAGCTGGGGAAGAGGTCTGCCAGATGATTTCAGGCCAATCCCAGTTTTCCATGGAAACTCAGGCCTGCTGAAATGATCATATCATTTCTTCTAACTTTGGTTCCTAGGAGAGGGGGGTTGTGGGGGTAGAGAGGGTAATTTGGGATTGTATTTATTTAGTACTTGTCATTTTACTGTTTAATGACAGGATGCTATACATCTGGGTATCAGCGAATGTTTTGTTTCTTTTCCGAGCTTAAAATCATGTCGTTGACGCTTGACACCTTTTCTCTGCAGCTGGCCCTGTGTTATTATTTGTTCCATCTAGCACTGGAGTTAAAATGGCTGACATTTATGAAGCCAAATGTGAGGCCTCCTAGAAAATGTTATGGTCTATGTTCTTTTTGTATATTCCTCATGGGGAAGACTGATTTGTGACTAAAATAGCAATATTCTTTTAAGTTTCCATGCAATTTTATAGCATTTACACATGTACCACAATATAGAAAGGCTTACTGGGCTCTATATGCATGCATACTACTTCAGTATTTTCTTAGCCACTGACCGGTAATAAGTATGCTGATATAGTCAAGGTCAGGTAGATCTCAGAGAGTTAGTATTTTAAGAAAGAGATTATCAATGGCATCCTCAGTGTTTCTCTCTGTACAGGTTTTTTAAGAGAAAAATTACTATATACTAAGTCCTATAGTATACTTTTTGTGTCATAGAGATTTTCATGATTCCACATAATATTGTTTGCAATGTAATGGGTCCTTGTGGTCAACAGTAGAGAGAAATTCAGAGAAAGACATGCTATTATCGTCCTTTTTTTTTCCTTTTAAAAGGTTAGATTACCATTTCAGACAAAATGAAAAGGTGAACTAACTCACAACATCCTCCTTGCTGCACTTATTTGTAATGATGAGCCTCGCCCATGGCAGCCCATATAAGTGTCCCAGCACTTGAAAACTTTCTACATGGCCCTGAAGGCTGTATAGCAACATAATGTTGCAATGGGTAGCGGTGATTGGCCAAAGTGACCATATGACCGCAATGAAAATCCCCTTATTCCTGGTACACTGTCATGGAAGGCTCAGAAGGGATTGACCGGTTGATTGAGGTCTGGTCGGGCAGTTGCAGTATTACTCCTGTGTGATGTTTGACCTTGTATAATAAAAGATCATCTCTAGTGAGTGTGTCTACCAGCTGGTGGCTGATGGTGATTCAATTTGGGGATAGCATCTGGAAGGTTGTGGAAATTTTTTTTAGGAAATATCACGCTTTGTGGGAGTTTGTTTCTTTCAGTGTGTATGTACAAAAAACTTTTCACATGCAATTCTGTTATAACATTTGTGATCTTATGTATTCACTATTTGGGGGTGCTGCTTATGGGTGTTATTATCTGTAAATCTGAATCATATTCAAAAGTCTAAAATAGTTTGTTTCATGTGGCAGCATTTTCCATTCCATAATAAAGATAACTGATTGAGCTGTAAGTGTTTTGTATTGTATAAATGAGAGTGCAATACTCTTTTGTGGGTTTTGTGCGTTTCCTTAAAAACAAATCAAAATTGTGTTTCAGGTGCCTTTGATAACGATGATATCATCCATGTTGAGGGGAGTGTCAACCCAGTGCGTGACATTGAGATCATACACGAGGAACTGCGTCTGAAAGACGAAGAAATGATCATCGCTGCCATAGACAAGCTTGAAAAAGTAGCTGTAAGAGGAGGAGACAAAAAGTTAAAACCAGAATATGTAAGTTTAAAATACATAATTAATTTGCTGCACACTTTCCCAGAAAGTGATTCTACATCCAAATTTCTTTTAATATTGTATAGCCTGGGGAAAGGTTAGAACCCTGTCAGGTGTTACTGCTACCCAGGGCTCAGTTCAGAGTTACCCTCACTTTTTGCCCTGGGGACAAACTTTTACTAGACAGGAAGTGAGGGAGAATCGGCTACAGAGAAACAGACAATAAAAAGCAATTATAAGTGCCCCCTAAAAGCATTTTTACTTCTGTGTTGTGATTAGAGAAATTTTCCCTCACTTCTTGTGTTGGGTGACTTTTTATTTTTACCAGAGGAGGAAGTGGCAGTGACACCTGGCATGTGCTCTAATCCCTCCCCACTCTATCCAAAACTAGAAAAAAAAATGGTGTAAAGGAAATTTATTTTTATAAATTTTGTAAGTCTTCATCAGTGCTGTTGGCCTTGAGAAGCTTGAAAAGAAGGAAATCATTCACTGCATATGGGGAACAAAATCACATGACCAAGAAAACTCATGTGAGACTGCGAAGATGACTTTTAATAGCACCCTGTGTACGATTTTTATGCACTCTGTAATCTGCTTCTTTTTTTTTTTTTTTTTTTTCATAAATTTGTGCAGATTTACAGCTGTGCTCGCATATGTACAGCAGAAGATAAAGAGGGGCCCACTTTAATAAGGCATTGTAAAAAAACAGCGATGGGGTGCAAACAGGGCTGGGCTGACCCAGGGACAGGATAGTCACCTACAGCGAGCACTTTGGTGGGGGTGGTTACAGTTGGGGGCGAGAGTTGAAGCCTTTACTAAAAAATTAGTGTTCTGTCTAAACAAAAAAATAAGATTTAAATAAATGTTTAACCATTGTTAATCCTTAGTTAACGCTAATCATGTTTTAGTAACCTCAGCATCCCCTTCTTGCCTTAGCTTTTTTTTTTGTCATATGTAAGCATTCAATATTTGCCCCATTTAAAAAAATGCACCAGAAACAATTTTTGTGCCAAATCACAGAATAAGCTTTGCATTTGTGATGAGTTATAAGCCACCTTAGTGCTGAGATGGTAGAACTAATTTTGTTTTTCATATTGCTAAAGCTGAACTTTAATACCATTGCAGTAGGGCTTCCTCCTCACTGCAAGGGGTAATTGATCATGTGGTCCAGGGGATGATGAATATTCCTTGCCTTATCCCTTGCCCTCTAGTATCATTGTCTGATGCTCCTGGCATGTGGGCATACCCTTGGTGTTCTCATGTACATTGCAGAACCACAGGTCCTGCATTGTACATGATGACATCGGAGAGCTGCAACCAGTTGGGCAGTAAAGAAGAGCAGTTTCAGTCTTCTGCAGAGGAGGAAGTCTGAAGGAGCGAAGAATTAAGTATTTCACCTTTCTCACTAAAGGATTCATGCAGTTACAAGTAGTCCCCGAGCTACGAACATCCGTGTTACGTATGAGGTCCCGGGCTGTTCCACTAGTTGCAATGCTACCGTGCTCGCGCCGCCGTTCGTATTACTGTACATTACAGGAAGTTGTTAGACGTGCAGACGAGGAGTGCCCGCCTCTTCTTCCTGGTCTGGTACTGTACATTATAGGAAATTGTACAAACATCTATCCAAGTTGCATTTAAAGTGGAACTCCATGCAATTTTTTTTTTTTTAGTTTTGGTTAGTATGGTATGGGATTAGAGCCACTGTGAGGACAGCAAAACAAATGTTACAGGGGGGTTAACCCTTCTTTATGCTATCCAAAACAAAAAGAAAATGTATTTTTTGGTTGGAGTTACACCTAGAAAATGTACCTGTTCGAACTTGCATACAAATTCAACATAAGAACAAATCTACACTCTCTTTTATTGTTCATATCCCGGGGACTGCCTCTAATTGCAGTTTGGTAGGCAATTCACATCAAGGTCATCTCCAGAATAGAGTTCATCTCTTTTGAAGTCTTGGCTCTTTTTCAGTGTGCTCATTATAACAAAATCATACTAGTTTTACTATGTCGCAACACCTTCCGCTATTTCTTTAGGTTTTTCATTGACCAAAAGTTGGTCATCTAGAGCTGTCATTTTTGCCCTCTATGCCAGTTCAGCCACTGTATGCGCAGAGTTGTAAACTTTATCTGCCATCGGGGTTGGGTACACTTCAGTGCCAGAGGACCTTGTCCATGCCCTGGGTGGAAAGTCCAGTAGTCCATGAAGATATATTTATATGTGGGTATACCACTGATTTTTCCCCCAGTGCCTTGTTAGAAGAAGTCTAGCTTTCTACACATTTTAAATTTTGCATTTCTGAATAATGTGGTAGCTGTACTACATATTAATGTTTCACCAGCTGCAGTTTCCACAGCTGTGTCTGAGGAACTTGTGACACATCTTTTCTGTTCAATGACAATGGCTTTAAAGTGATCCTTTGCAAGCATCTCTTCAGCTGTTTGATACGTCTGTCTGTCCAGCTGCCTGTTGATCTACAGTGCATAGACACCGAAAACGTGGGGGCCTTTTGAAAATCGAAAAGACAGCATATGCATGTCTTTTCAATTCATTTTAACGCGCATACATTTCTCCTCAGGATTTTATAACATTATGCAGTTTTTGATGATCAAACCGTATCAGAAACTTTCCCCATTTTTGCTCAGTAGGACGGATTCAGGGCTCTGGTCTAAGTAAAACCATTGACGGTCTTCAGAAAGGTGCATTTTATTGTCGCTAGGACATGCCAAAGCTGTGGGTCAGTTTTGTTTGTGTGGCTATCCGCTAATTTGGCATTCCCTCTCGTGGTCTTTTTTTTTTCTATGAACTCTGACATAAAAGAGGACTCTAAAAATGGGAAAAATAAGTGTTTAGCTGCTACTTATATGACTCCATTTTTATGTTAGTCTTAGACAAAATAATGCTGAAAATGATCAAAAGAGAGAATGTTAGTATAAAGCTGAGTGAGATTATAGTAAAGTGCTGACCATAGAAATACAAGAGTATATCTTACATCCGTCCTGTATGACTATGATCCAACCTCATGCTGCACGTATCTCTTATCTAGCTTCATATTGCTAAATGGAAAGACTCTTAATATGCATGCTGACAACATTTTTGCATGCCACCCCTCACTACTGCTTGTTTACCTCTGTAATGTTATTGTTTTTTTGATCTCATATTGTATGACCAGTATTATTGGTGGCTATATTTGCATAAAACTGTCTTAATCTGATCTGCTCCCTTAGGGGTCACCCACTTTACTATAACTCCACCTTTGCTTCCTTCAGCACTGGACTATATTTCAAGTCGGTGGTGTGGAAAGGACACACTGAATATACAGTACATGTACAGCTTCACACTCTTTTTAGAATTCTGTAATCTGTAAAGACCTGAAATGCACAAGAAGTTCATTATTCTTTGTGTATTTTAACATGATCGCTGGTCAAAGGCCACTCGTACTTAAAGTCATTAGAGATAAGATGCTTTCTCCGCTTCCACCTGCAGGTCACCATGATGAGCTAATGAAAGAGCTTCCACAAGTCCCCTCTCAATGTAATGTTCAGATCACTTTTTAAGGTTATCCTGTTGATGCCTCCGATTATTCAGTGTCAACTAGGTGAATATTTATAGCAACATACACATTTAATAGGTTTAAATAGTTTTATTACAGAATGTTTCCCTGGTGTTTTTTATTTATTTTTTTGACAGAGGACTGTTTGGAAAAATGTACAACGTTGTTACATTCTGTTCTTATTTAACATCAACTAAGGCCAATTTTATATGTGTCATCAATGTGTCATCATCGGAAAGTGGCAATTACCTATAAAGCTTTGTTTTAAGTAGACATTACCTTACTAGAGGTACAGTATGCTAGATGTACATGTATGACATCCACGGGTGGACTGTAATGACAAATAACATTGATGGGCTTTGATATCAAATATGTATTGTATTAGCTCTCTTTCCTTGACCCTTTTTTGGTCATTTTCAGCTATTGGTTGTTTTTTTTAACCAAATAGTAGGCATATAGAGCACCTAGTGTACCTTTGGCCCATAAGGCTGCCCATCATGGATACCAGTAGTGAGGCTTAAAAGGCAGAGGGGGCATTTCCCACCAACCCAAGAAACACGTATGTCAGAGCAACTGGAGTTTCCTAAAAAAACAGACCTGATGTGCTGTTATTGGGAACACCACTGGGTTTTACACTGAACCTAAAATAATGTGGGCTTCAGTTTAACATTTAACTATTATCTAATCACATTAGCTCTGCATTCTTGGTGCCTGGCACCGGAGGTTTATAGCAGGGGCATTTCAGACAACTAAGACAAAAAGCAAAAATTACACTTTTGATGCAGCCTGTCACAATTAGCCCAAAGATTAGTTGTAAAAATAAAAAGTGTCATCTTAAGATATATTGAGAAAAACAGACCTGTGTTTAAACATTTGGGTTTTTTTAATGACACCCCTGCATATATCACACACAAATTTTCAGGACATACCCAACCTAGTTTAGAATAGTAATACCATTTATTCTCTTTAGAAGCATTTTGTAAAAACCTGTTGGCTTAAAATCTTAATCTTTAAACAATGATGCATTGTGTATAAGCACAGGCAGTTTTCATTTTTAAAAGAATCTGTGCCCCTTGCTGACCCATGTATTGAATTGATTCATTTCTAAACTAACACCCTTATTAGACACTGACAGTTTTGCCAATACAAACCACGTAAATCAATGCATAATAGGCATCTTCCAACAGTGCTTGAAATAAACGGGGAAAAGAAACCAAAAAAATATTTGATAATCATTAGAATTCCTTAACATTCTACTGTTACCTTCTTGTCCTGGTGCACCCAGTTTTCTGAGTGCTGCCATAAAGGTACAAAAGGTTTTTGTTTTTTCCGACACATTTCTTAAAGCAGAATTTTGGTGTTTTTTAAACTTTATAAAATATCAAAGCTAACAGTTTGTATATTTTTAAAGTAAATAAAGCTGTAACTAAATTATCTAGGGACCTATTTG